GGGGGGGGGGGGGGGGGGTTTCTATTCTCTTCAAACCTGACCCAGAGAACTGAGCCCAATTTGGGGCACTGTGCACACCAGAGAGGGTGGCTTCTTTCCAATGGACACACCAAATTGGACAGAAGGCAGCAGGGAGCAACACAAATGATTAACCATCTAGAAAAGGCAGGGTTTGAGGAAGGGCTGGAAGAACTGTGATATTTAATTTGGAGAAGAGAAGACCAAGGGGGAATTTGTATTTGAAGCAGTCTTCAAATACAAACAAAGCGCATTTACAGTGTGACTGGCGATCAACAGTTCTCTGTGGCTGCAGGCAACGGGGCGAAGAGCAATGGTCTTAAATTGCAGCAGGGGAAATTTAGCCTGGACCTGAGCAAGAAGCGAGGGCCCACTGGGGTGTGCAGGGTGATCCCTGTGTAGCTGCAATGGATGAATGGTTGTGTGAACCTCCTGGTTGTGTGTGCGTGTCAGGCACTTGTGTCCAACAGCAGACTGGGACATTGCCCCTAATGTCTCTTCTTACCATACACTTCCGTCTTGCATTCGGTGAAGTTGGCGGGGCAGGCTGTGGGTGTCAGACAATCTGCATTGTTGGTTTTCGCTGGGCAGGTGTAACACGTCAAGGCGAAACCTGCAAGAGACCCAGGTGTGTGAAGGGGTACCGCAGGATGGAGAGCCCCAGGACGAGGAACGAGGATGCCGGGTCACTGCAGTACAACCCAGGCCTTAAAGAACAGACTTTGTGACCCTGGGCGTGCATCAGGGTCTGAGGGGAACATGATGCCACAGGGTCTGTCTCCATCATACTGTCAACCGTGCTGAGCCAGAGCAGCTCTCGGTGTTCAGATCCCTCCTCTGCCCAAATGGGATCCCAGGCCCCACTCCCAGAGCCAGGGCACATCAGGGGGTCTGTGAGGGAGGTGAGTCCAATTGCTCATGGGGATAGTGGCCACCTGCACTCCCCAGAGGCTGAGCACTCTCAGGGGTGCAGCTGTCACCAAGGACTAGGTGGGATGGGAGTTCACACTCAACGCAGGTGTTTCACATCCCATGGCCTGGGCACAACTGAAGCACGCACACAGCTGCAATTACACTGTGCAGGTAGCTGCTGGGGTATAATGCACCTAACCTCCAGGGTATATCGAACCCAGGCAGCTGGACCAATCACTGACTAGCCTTTTAGTGGTCCCCACCTGACATATGCTCCGATCCCATTCTCATACCCCCAACAGCAACATACAGACCCGACAATGCCCCGTGGCTATATTGCATTATACCATTCAGCATAAAAATAATGCAAGTTTGAACCTCCGTGGAAAAAAAATGAGTTGCAATCAGATGCCTTTTGAAATCAGCATTAGTGATAAAGGGAAGGATTCGGGTTGAAACGGGGAAGGAACTGAGACAAGGTCAAGGTTTTCAAGCCAGCTGACCCAGCGGCCTCATGGAATTGGCTGAAAGTGAACTGCACCAGCATTTTTCATGCAAAACCTGCCATTTAAGGAAATGTCGAAGTGACGTTGTTTGATATGTTTTAATTTTTTCCCTCCCGTCCTTTTTGGTGGAAGCTTCTCACAAATCCTCCAATGCCTCATTCTCCAGCAAGTTGACTAATTTACTAGGCAAGGGTTTCTTACAGTGATACCTTTCCAGTGGACCCATTATATCGTTGGATGAAAGTTAGGCTTTCAAATGCAAGGAGTTCTTCATCATTTCATAGATGTTAGGGGCTGGAAGGGATGTTACAGATCATGTGGACAGAAAGCAAGATGGGCCTCTTTATCAAAAACATTTCTCCCGTCTGCAATCCCAAAATATGTTAACTTCCAGCAAGAAGATAAAGCATTTTTTCTCCCTGTCTAGACCACTCTGTAATGTCCTTTCAGAAAGCTGATACCACACACCCAGACAAGAACCATTGACTTCTGCCTTTTGCTCTGGGGAAACGCATCTTGCTGTCTCCCCTCCTATTTCCAGAGGTGTATAACTCACTGGAAAGACCATGGGATTGGGGTAAAGAGGAAACTCCCCTGTGTCTTACCTGATTCTATGCACAGGATTGCAGCCAGCAAAATAATGAGGAAGACCTTCATCTTTGAGGCTGTGTCTAGCACTCTGAGTAGAGGACTTTCCCCTTCTTTATATATAATCACTTCAGGTATCACTTGTGCGGGGTTGGGAAGTACCAAATCCCCTACTTCTGGGCCAACTGGTTCTCTGAGTCATGATACAGGTATTGGCCGAAAAATACCCCTCCTCTCTCTTTGTTGTTTCTTTGTAAGGTTCTTTTTCTTCTCCATTGTTCCTGCCCTTATCAGCACCCTTGTGCAAACCCTACACACCTCAACGGAAAATACCAGACCTTTTCTGCACAATGCCAGCCTGGGGTTGATAAACCTCTCCTAGGTGGGGACTTGACTCAGGCATATCCAGTCATGCAATCAAACCCTGCCAATCCCCTTTGCTGTTATCATCAAAAGCACCAACACACCTGTGTTTGATCAACGCCAGGACGGGCCTCTGCAGAACATGTTTCTATGGACGGAGATGCATAGCTTTTGGGGTCATCCTCTGGGCACTATCTTGTCCCATTCACAGAAGATACAAGGGGTGATGGCCTCTCTCCATAGGCAAGGCCATGTCATAGCTTTTGTTTTCAGTGCTAGAGGCCCCATGTTCAGTCCACCCTGGGGTGACCTTCACACAGGGAGCCCCTCAGACTCTTTCCAGAGCACCGCAGAAGAGAATAAGACATTTCCTTTGCATTTCCTACAGGAAAGATGTAGAGCTCATTGCCATAAGATGTAGGCCGAAGCTGAGAGGTTAGCCAGATTCAAGAAGGGGTTAGAAACATGCTGGGAGGAAAGGGGCATCAGTAGGTAATGACCATGAGGGGTATGACCTCTGCATCAGAAATTTGAGCAGGAGGTTGGACTAGATTTGACCTCCAAAGGTCCCTTCCAGCCATCATTGTCTATGAATCCTAGATCTTAAATGCTGGAGGCTGCAAGTGGGAGACAAACAGGGGTGAATCTAGGGTCTGACCCAGTAAATAGCAGTTATTATGTTCTTAAGGAAATGTTGCTCAGTTGACCCGTACTTCTCTTTGGGTCTGGGCAGCTTCCACCCCTGCCTGCAATGCATGTCTTACTGGGAAGGAAGGTGGGAGAATTTTCGACCTGGAGGGACATGAGCAGTGGGGTCCCCCAGGGCTCGGTCCTCGGGCCTG